ACGCCTCACGGGAGTGAGCGGAGAGACGGGAGTGGCTCCTGCCTCTGTGAACACCAAGGAGAAAGGTGAGCTTGTGGATGGACCGGACATAGGGGCATGAGGGCCGGAAACACTGTTTTGACAGCAGAGCACAAAGGATAATTAATGCTGCCTCACTTTCTCTTTCCTCCTTTCTCCTGTGTCCCCTCACCCCTACCTGGGAAATCCCAGTAATAGAAGTCTAGTTTGACCCAGTAACTGTCTCTAGTCAACAGTTATTCAAGTTAAACTTTCCTTCTTGTTGAGCAGCAAACTGGCTCTCCTCCACTTTGTCGTTCTCTTTCTTCCTATAAGGCAATTTCCTCCTCTCTGTTTTGCAAGGCCGATAGTTCAAATACAGCGCTATGGTGACGACACCCACTCCAAGGGCAACAATGATGATGATGAAGATGGTAGAGCTGATTCCTTCTCCTGGTCCTGCCCAAACACAGAAAACAGAGAAAATGAGAGGGTTGGAGACAAGAGAAGCACCCCATCCCAGCCAACTGAGCCCACTTCAGTCTCATCCTCCCCAGCCTTGTAAAATCTTTCTTCTTTCCATTGTTGGGTAAGAATCTCAAACTGGCCGGCGGCTGGCAGGGAGGTTAAGGCAGCTAGATCCCACGTGGCCGATGGTGTGGATCCAGTCCCAGAACCGAAGGTTTGAAATGCATGCCAGATCCACGTACGTGCATGCCCAAAATCCTAAGAAGAGAATGGAGGAGAAGGGAATGTGGCATGGCCATCCCCCCTCAGCACTGGTCACCTTGTATATATGCATTTACACACACACACACAGACATAAACAAAACGAGGGAAATGTGGCAATTCGACCGGTCAAGAAGATTTCTGGAAACAGGAAACTCATACCCTTCTTTTGACAGGAAAAATCAGGCCTCTACTCACATAAGACATGAAGCTGGATCACAGTGGTTTTAATCAATCGCCGAACATGCACCTCCAAAGAGGCCTCACAGGAGAAATTTCGGCCATCGTCTTCCTCCCTGGCAGTAAGTGCAAGCCAAGCAGGCTCCCCAGGGGCAGGGCGGTCTGAGGCTCCCTGAAGCCAAAGAGAAGGGCTGGGGGAGGTTAACACATGCCCCGTGCAGGTCACATTAACGTCTGTCCCTGCCAGTGGGTATTCTTCTATCTCTAAGATTGGTGGAGGGAAGCCTTTGAGAAAAAGAGAAAGAAAACCAAACATGTCTCAAATCGGCAGCCACTCTATCCTTGCTGCTGGTGAAACCCCTTGGGTAGGCAGACAACAGGGCAAGGACTCCAGAAACCATGACTACTTCTGTAAAAGGAGTGGCAAGGTGGTTTGGGAGTGTGAGGGCTTCTTACGATAGACCCAGTGTGTGCACGTTGGGCCCTGCCTCTGCTGCCAGGATGGCAAGGTGTCTTCATCTTAGGGATTTCTTTCTCACCTCACATAACTGTTGCTAGGAAGAGGTTTGCGCCTCCACAATCACTCTGTAAGCAGGATCGGCTAAGGAAACTGAGGGCAACAGCTGGACAGGACTACTATGACAATGCAATGCCTGTCCCCATAGCGTCTGTGCTTACTATGGCCAGATGAGAGTGACCTAGCAACTGTGAGTGGGTTGAATGAGTTATTACATAAATAAGAGAACACATGAATGAATGAGTGAAGAGATGACAGGCAGGAATG